GTTATTCCTCCTTATTCCAAAAAGCGGTCTACAGTTAATCTTGGCTTAAACCTTATGTTGTCTTTGTCTTCTTTTTAACAAACAAAAGTGACAGCATCGGTTTTAGTCCAGGTTTAACTTTAGTCTACGTTTTGTAATAAGGTGGATTGAGTTTTGATGATAGAGCAAAAAATATTATATGCACAGTAGAGCGGCATCACGCTTCAACCGCGGTTAAGAGTTTATATTATGGGCAAGAACACTTCTAAAAAAAGTACTTTAGACGCGGTCTAACCGAGGATAAAACTGAAGAATCAAAGGAAAGAATCAAAACAGCGATTGCTGATGTGGAAAGCGAATAAGGGCTGATGTAATCGCGATTTAACATTTGCCGAGTAATCTAGTTTTTAAAATAATAAAAACTTTAAAGTGTATATCGTAGGATGATTTGATAAATCGATTTTTCAAAAATCCTAAGGATTTTGCGGAAACGCGGATAATTAGACAATGGCGATGATATTGCTCAATACTAATAATCACTGATAAAGATTTTTTTAGGGCGTTTCGCTAGCGTCTTTTTTTCGCAATCTTTCTAAGAAGACTCGCGCATTTGCAAAAATCTCTATCTTTTTTCAGCAAGATCAAAAAGGTTTCGCAAAATCCCTAGGATTCTCGCGAAAATTCGATTATCAGATTATCCTACGTCATATTCAATGATATTCTACTATAAAAAAATATAATCACTATTAAGGTAAGCTTGCAATATAAAGATGCGCATTGAATTACCAAACTTCAATGTTATTTGAGTGATGTAAAATAAAATAAACAAAACATGACGAATCAAGTCCATTTTATTCTTCATTTAATTATTAAAGGAAGTGATTATGTTCCAATCACTCAATTGATAAATCAAGAGCAAATCATTCGCTCACATTATCTCCTATTTTGGGAGTATGAGGAACGGTTCGTTAGAATGGATTATATATAACTCCTTAATATCTAAAATATTCTTCAATATAATGTATCTACAGTTAAAAATACGACGAGTTACAAGAAACATAAACATATTAAAAAAGCTAAGTACGAGAAAGATTTGCGTACGATGGGTTCCGTATTATCTATATAATATTAGACACTATATTATGAAACTAGACACTATGCTTCTATAATTATAAATGTGAAAGTTTGTATGTTTATTACTCAATTACATAAAAACTACTCAAGGGATTTGGATGTTGGTTCGCATCCTGGATTGAGACATTAGATACTTTTTATATAGAAAAAACGTAAGGCTACTGAGGGATTCTCGAAAAATACGTCTGTTGTATGGGATTTATTATTCAGGGAGGAGGGGGTATTAAATATTTATTTTATTTTAATTTTTATAAGTGGATATAGAAATAAATATTCTGTGAATATTTCAAGCGCCTACCGCTTTCCGTTATTATTATAAAGCTAAAAAACGGCAAAAACTACGTTTATGTATGGGATCCCCCTTAAATATAAATTTGATTCTTTTGGTATTTCTTGTAATAGCGGCAACAGAAATACATCATGTGTGAAAATATAAACTGTCAGGCTATCACAGTTCATAGTACAGAACTAGGGTAACGAACGTTCTTTTCTATCGAATACAGCATTTGCAAAGCTGATACATCTACAAATATAGTAGATAACAAAAACAATTAAAAAATATAGTATGTGGTTAAAATATTTACTTTATTTTTGAAATGAATGTATTTTTACCGCTCTATTCCTTCATAATAGGGATGATGACTAATTTTTTTCTTCGTTTATCAGGTAGATTATAAAAAAAAGTATTGGGCACCTATTTTTTCTTTTTAAACATAATATAAACATTGCAGAGATATATTGATTTGAAAAGTCGCATTACGTCACGTTTTGGTACAATTTTCACTTAAAAGTGACGTCACGAGCCCCTACTCCCAAACTTGTCATTTTTGGTTGATTGCCTAAAGAAAAAATACATGTCCATTATTTTTTGATCATCTAACTGACGGACTAAATAGAATTTCGTTTACTTTACCCCGTCATCGTGCCTATTAATTTTTTATTTTTTAGGAAAGCCGTTACTAAAAATTTCTGCTTTAAGCAAAATATAGTAGTTTCGCCTACCATTTATATATTATGTAGTAGGGTTGGCAACCCTGTACAGAACCGTAAAAGATTTTACACGACACAATACAAAGAATTGTATTACAGAAGCATAAACTTGAATATGTACCTATATTAATTAGGTAAATAGAGCTTGCTTCCTTTTACAGTTGTCCGAAAAGACTTAGTATCAGTGACACTTCAGTTTAATAATAGTAACAAAAAATGGAACACAAACAAATCACGAACTTTATTAACATGACTAAGATTTATGAACGCAGTTACTAGTAGCGACATCTATTGCCGCTGGGAGTAGATACAATCGTCTGTTACCAAAACTAGGTGGCGCTGCATGTAAACAAAATTGAAACGCTTTACCCATAAACAGTGCCATGCTTTTTTCCTCACGTGGGGAGATGGAAGCACGTGGTTTTGTTATTCATTTCGATTTCTTGGTTATGTACGACTAATACCTACACACGAGAACTATAATTAGTTATGCTACTGTATAAATATATAAATATTTACGCTATATTGAATTGACGTTTGTGGGTTAAAAGAAACAACTTAAGTAAATACGTACTTTTGATAAGATCGATTATTTTCAATGATTTTCTTGGGGATTGCATGCGCAGGAATTTGGGCAGCGAGAAATTGTAACGATTATTTTCACTAGTATCAATACTCCAATTGCTGATACAAAAGATAGTTTACTATCAAACCAAAAGACAAAAGTATGAAGAATTGGTAATAAAAAAAAAGACGAATACTATAATTTAACTTGATATCACGAATAATTAACACTTTTGAGTTTTAAATGAAAACGTAGTTTGCAACTGGATTCAATTAAAGATATATTACTTCCTTGTAAGTGCTTCATTAGTTTAGATGTTAAAACGATTGTTCTTGTAAAAATCATACTGCTAATATAAAAAAGCATACTGTAATTTTTTTTGTGGTGATTTTTATGCTAGTACGTACAAAATATGTATTACGTAGTTCTTAATTGATGTAATTAGTACTTGTAATTATCTCCTACGTGTCTGTGTTAAAATATTCTCTATCCTAGCGTTTATCATAACATGCTGTAATAGGAATGAAAAGGAGAGAATGCTGACTTTCGATAAAGCCAGGCCATTTGTAGTGCCAGCATTGTAGACTTATTTATAGCATTGTATAATGCGAGTTATCTCAGTTTTTCAATCCAAAATTTAGTTTAACTGATAAGGCGGTACTGTTATTTCTTTTTATATTAGTTAAAATACTGGCCGTATTTTAAGAAATTGTTTTCTTTTAGAAGCTATTTCTTACCTCTGTTATCATTATTATCCGGGCGGCCTGTTAGGTCGGTCATTGGATGGGTGACCATAACTGATTATCTTGAGCTCCTTCGTTCTTCAGATAGCACGTTAAGCTGTTGGTCCCGGCTGCATCTGCAGTCGTTGGCATCCACCAATTCGCACTGGACTCGCGAGCTGGGAGTTGGTCAAATCTCCCTAGCAGACATGTGCCCAGCAGTGCAGGTCGTTGACCTCTGTCCCTGCAGGTCGTTCTGGTAGCGGGCGAGTGCGGGCGCCCCCCTCCACTCGCACGGACCCCTTGTCCCGCCCCGTGCCCGCAGTACAGTGCACACGTTACCTGAGCATGCAGGTCAGCTGCAGGTCGTTCTGGTAGCGGGCGAGTGCGGGCGCCCCCTTCACTCGCACGGACCCCTTGTCCGCAATACAGTACACACGTTACCTGAGCATGCAGGTCAGCTGCAGATCGTTCTGGTAGCGGGCGAGTGCGGGCGCCCCCTCCACTCGCACGGGCCCCTTGTCCGCAATACAGTGCACACGTTACCTGAGCATGCAGGTCAGCTACAGGTCGTTCTGGTAGCGGGCGAGTGCGGGCGCCCCCTTCACTCGCACGGACCCCTTGTCCGCAATACAGTGCACACGTTACCTGAGCATGCAGGTCAGCTGCAGATCGTTCTGGTAGCGGGCGAGTGCGGGCGCCCCCTTCACTCGCACGGGCCCCTTGTCCGCAATACAGTGCACACGTTACCTGAGCATGCAGGTCAGCTGCAGGTCGTTCTGGTAGCGGGCGAGTGCGGGCGCCCCCTCCACTCGCACGGGCCCCTTGTCCCGCCCCGTGCCCGCAATACAGTGCACACGTTACCTGAGCATGCAGGTCAGCTGCAGGTCGTTCTGGTAGCGGGCGAGTGCGGGCGCCCCCTTCACTCGCACGGACCCCTTGTCCGCAATACAGTGCACACGTTACCTGAGCATGCAGGTCAGCTGCAGGTCGTTCTGGTAGCGGGCGAGTGCGGGCGCCCCCTTCACTCGCACGGACCCCTTGTCCGCAATACAGTGCACACGTTACCTGAGCATGCAGGTCAGCTGCAGGTCGTTCTGGTAGCGGGCGAGTGCGGGCGCCCCCTTCACTCGCACGGACCCCTTGTCCGCAATACAGTGCACACGTTACCTGAGCATGCAGGTCAGCTGCAGATCGTTCTGGTAGCGGGCGAGTGCGGGCGCCCCCTCCACTCGCACGGGCCCCTTGTCCCGCCCCGTGCCCGCAATACAGTGCACACGTTACCTGAGCATGCAGGTCAGCTGCAGGTCGTTCTGGTAGCGGGCGAGTGCGGGCGCCCCCTCCACTCGCACGGGCCCCTTGTCCCGCCCCGTGCCCGCAATACAGTGCACACGTTACCTGAGCATGCAGGTCAGCTGCAGGTCGTTCTGGTAGCGGGCGAGTGCGGGCGCCCCCTTCACTCGCACGGACCCCTTGTCCGCAATACAGTGTACACGTTACCTGAGCATGCAGGTCAGCTGCAGATCGTTCTGGTAGCGGGCGAGTGCGGGCGCCCCCTCCACTCGCACGGGCCCCTTGTCCCGCCCCGTGCCCGCAATACAGTGCACACGTTACCTGAGCATGCAGGTCAGCTGCAGGTCGTTCTGGTAGCGGGCGAGTGCGGGCGCCCCCTCCACTCGCACGGCGCTCACCTTGTCCCGTAATGCACTCCCGCAGCCTCCGCAACGTTCCCGCAGTATTGACATTATGTTCGGCTGCCTTAGGAAAGCCACTACCTGTTGGTAAAAAAAAACAAATTTACAGATTATAAAATAGGGTTCCTTTAACAGATTATAAAATAGGGATCTTTCAGGTAAATGAAATGATTAAAAAGAGACCGAGCAGAAGAACAAGATAAAAATAACAACAAACAGTATTGATTCCAGAAATCCAGATACAATCTTGGGCCAAACCAATGCGAAATGTGGCATCGTCCTTATGTCTCATGCTGCAGCACAGTTAATGTATTGTGGTTACCCTCAAAATAAAACTATGCAAATAGATTTAATACTCCCATTTTTTTAAATACCTTATATTTCAAATTTATACTTCCTAACATTATATACTTCGATTATCGCTCAATTAATAGGCTTATCGGATAAACATCCCAGCGAGCACATGACGGTGACAAAGTTATCATTATAACTGAAAACAGGCTTTCATGCAATGCAGGTGGTCTGGTCTGGTTTTTAACTTAAGAATATGTTATTCCGTTTAGAGAAGGTATGGTAGGTAGATTATGTATTAAAGTGGCTTGTTTAAAACGTTTAAGCATGCTTTACTGAATAAATAACTTCACTATAGAGTAAATAGTTACCTTATCATTATATGCTACGGGTATTTCTTGCTGGGTGTTGAGCGTCTGTACATCCGAAACCGTCACGGGTGGCCTGGGTGGAGGAGTAGGAGCCTGACAAATAAACAGAAACACTGATTAACAATTTCTGGCAGCATTCTACGTACAAAATCTTCCATACTGAATGTGAAGTCATTAAAAACATTTGTTTTAAACACACCAATTAGCCTAGCCCCAAAGTAAGTACTGTACGTACGTTCGGCTGCGATCGTTGAAGTTAAGCTACTTTCGCAGTGGTCGGTCATTGGATGGGTGACCATAAATCTTCTATCTCGAGTTCCACCGTGCTTCGGAAGGCACGTTAAGCCGTTGGTCCGGGCTGCATATGCAGTCGTTAGCACCCGCCAATCCGCACTGAGCCCGCGTGGTGGGTTATGGCCCAACCTCCCTATTCCATCCATAGGGAGGGCCTGTGCCCCAGCAGTGGGGAAATTAATAGGCTGATGATGATGAAAACAATTCCTAAACGATATCGCGCAAAAAGTTCATATTAGATCTCAGTGGCGCCAACTAGTGTCGTTAATTTTCCTGGATTTTATCACAGCATAATATTGAGGGTTTGATAATGCTGTGATGAAATAAATATCTACAGGAGAATAACATACGGAAATGCATAATAAGTAATAGTAAAATAAGTAAAAAACTGTACAACAAAACAATACAAACAAAATACAAGCCACTAACAAAACATTGACAGAGAAAACGAAACAACAAACCAACGAGTACAAAAAAAAGCATAATCAAAGTTACTACAGCACAAAAAAGCATCCAATGAAGAATAACAAAAAACTAAAAACAAGACAACAACAAGAAAAGTCTAGACATGGGACAAAAATAAGAAAGTTAATTGATTGTAATTCAAAACTATTCAATGAAAAAAAAATATAATTTCGGCACATACTGACCTGACGTGTTGCAATGGATTGCTCTCAAATAAATGGAGTAAACTTGGAGTAAACTCAATGAACACTCACTGAAGCGTGAAATAGAAAAACTATAAGCCAAGTGCTACCAACAAACAAAAATAACAATCGCTCATTGTGATGGTGTAAACAAAAAGTACTAATATAGAAGGGGCAAATTTATCAAAAAGAATACCTATATTTTTTCTATCTCCCCTGGGTTCAGTTGTAGTGCAATAATCACAGAATCAGCCAGATACTAAATTTTTGGGCAAAAATTAGTTAGATTGTTGATTACAATTTAGAATGCCGTCTACACAATTTTAATATCTCAATTTGACCCTTGTTCGCATCACAATATCTTTGATGTGCAAATGCGATGCCACTACTTCTGGCAACCAACCCCAAAAGAGATTTTTAAATAGGTACATTTCGTTTACACGTTATTAGGGTTACCATTCGTACGGATTTTTTGAGACATGTCCGGACTTTAGTTCGTATTGCGTCCTGTTTTCATAATAAACTTAAGACATAACTAAAAGCACATGAGAAATGTTAAATCAATATTTATTTCCCAAAACCCGTTGCACAGTTCATAATACGTACCCTGTGCAGCATTTGTACGGATTTCTTTTACAAATTTCATATTTTGTCAGGACTTTTCAGTCTTAAATTTGTTCTCATAATGGTCTCATAATTCATAATGGTAACCCTACAATGACGCGTGTGTAAGTACCGGCAGCACCTGGTCGTGCCGTCGTCTCGCCGGCAGCAGCGGCGAGAAGGGCCCAGCTTGAGGCGCGCGCGGCAGCCGTGGGTCGATAAACGTCGTGCGCCGCATCACGTGGTCCACGAAGAACCGCTGCGTAAATACAGTCAATACCACAGACCCATATCTATGTAGACGACGCAAGTGATTCAAATTGCATGAAACCGAGCGTGTCATATTTTGAGTACAGGTCGCGACACGTAACTTTAGCGCTGAACAAAACGCGTCAGGGATTGCTGCGCATGGGTACGCCTGGGGAGCCAATCGGCGCAACGCACGCCCACCCGCGCACCTCGTTTCCCCCCAAGTCATCTTAATTTTTACTTCTGCGCAATAACGGTCAGCGCTAGAGTTTCGTGCCGTGACTTATACTAACGAGTGGTACAAAAGCATAGGCCCTGGCCACCTCGTCTCAATTCTATCTTATTCACAGCTGGATATGCCACAATTAGGCATTTAAATATTGACAACGGTGACACTCAAACATAAAATTGCGTCGAAGAGCTTTCCTTTTGACATACGAAGTATATACCTATAGTTGCGTCATCTATTTTGATCCATGCAGTGCCGTCTTTGACCTATTGGAGACCCTGGGCATATTAGGATAATGGGGCCCCTATGCCCCCCGTTTGGTGATTTATCAGAAACTAGGGGCTTTGTATTTGATTTGAGGGGGCCCTGGGCACTTGCCCAAAGTGCCCACTGGGAAAGAAGGGTCTAGATCCATGTCTGCGGTAAATAACCACTCTTCTCTATTTGACTACAATGAAACGGAAAGACAGGATGCCTTCTTCGCCACTGGGAGTGGCAACGTCTCCTCCCTGTTCATTTCACCCAGTTCGAAGACTTGGCGAAATGAGCAGGGCCCTACCCACTAAAAACACAGACAATACACAATACATATTACTTTGCACCGGTCACCCACGCACACGCACTCTTAGGAGTGAAATCTTCAGAATTCGTGTCGAGAGTACGGTATTGTACGGTAGTGAATTATACTTTTTGTAAGAATGCGACAATCGAAAGGATAGTTGGATTACTTGTTCCATAATCCTAAACCTAGAAGATTTTAAAATAATTTGTTTCTCCTGTGGTATATTAGTTTAACGAAGATTTATTTTTTCGACAATAGTATCTCTAGATCTTAAATCTTATCCGTTCCCACTAAGATGTTGATGATCTGAAAGATCTAGATAGAACAAAACTGTGTCATTTCACAATGCAACGAATTGTTGTCGAATTCCCACAGATACAATCATTTGAAACGATGCTATTGTACATATAAAGGAGGGCGCATTGGCCATAATAAGAAAAGTATAACAGGCTAAATCCCACCCGAGCGGCTGGTCCCTGGCAGCGTCACTGAACATATTGACGAGCGCCACGAGGTCTTTAATTATGTTGATATCTTCAATATCATATACTTCAGAGTGGAGTAATCGAAGTTGTATAGAGGATAATGTAGGAATATCGCACTGTCTCACCTTCCCATTCCTGTCCAGCTTGGTGTCCCACCCGAGCGGCAGGTCCCTGGCGGCGTCGCTGAACATATTGACGAGCGCCACGAGGTCGCGGTTGTGTTGGTACCGCTCGAACGACGCCGTGTCCCGACGGATTTTAGATATCATGTGCTTCAGCGTGGAGTTGCAGTTGTACAGCGCTGACGCTTCCTGCGGTGTTCGAAATAGTGAAATTTATATCGAAGAACATGGCAATAATTTAGAAGTGGGATTTTGAGAGAAAAAGTCTAAAGTATTTTAAAGGTTCATGATAGTTTGCACTGGAAAAGGGTGCTTTGCTAATTTTACTTGAAAATTATTCCACAATCTATTAGTTTCATTGTAGTTACACTTATGCAATGAAATTTATAACTGGTGTGCACAGGCAGTAGGCGACACTTTATCACAGATAAACTAGCTTGCGTTGACTAAGACTCCAATTACGTGCAACAGAACTTGGCCTTAGTGGCCATGAGCCCCCGGAGGATTTTCTCCCGCGCCTTTGTGTGTATGTATGGCGCGCACCTGGTTCATGTGCAGCACGTTATAGAAGTCGGGGCGCTCCAGGAAGGCAGCGGCGGGGTGCGGCGCGTGCGGGGCGGAGGGGCGGGCGCGGGCCTGTGTGTGTATGTATGGCGCGCACCAGGTTCATGTGCAGCACGTTATAGAAGTCGGGGCGCGCCAGGAAGGCAGCGGCGGGGTGCGGCGCGTGCGGGGCGGAGGGGCGGGCGCGGGCCTGTGTGTGTATGTATGGCGCGCACCTGGTTCATGTGCAGCACGTTATAGAAGTCGGGGCGCGCCAGGAAGGCGGCGGCGGGGTGCGGCGCGTGCGGGGCGGAGGGGCGGGCGCGGGCCTGTGTGTGTATGTATGGCGCGCACCTGGTTCATGTGCAGCACGTTATAGAAGTCGGGGCGCGCCAGGAAGGCAGCGGCGGGGTGCGGCGCGTGCGGGGCGGAGGGGCGGGCGCGGGCCTGTGTGTGTATGTATGGCGCGCACCTGGTTCATGTGCAGCACGTTATAGAAGTCGGGGCGCGCCAGGAAGGCAGCGGCGGGGTGCGGCGCGTGCGGGGCGGAGGGGAGGGCGCGGGCCTGTGTGTGTATGTATGGCACGCACCTGGTTCATGTGCAGCACGTTATAGAAGTCGGGGCGCGCCAGGAAGGCAGCGGCGGGGTGCGGCGCGTGCGGGGCGGAGGGGCGGGCGCGGGCCTGTGTGTGTATGTATGGCACGCACCTGGTTCATGTGCAGCACGTTATAGAAGTCGGGGCGCGCCAGGAAGGCAGCGGCGGGGTGCGGCGCGTGCGGGGCGGAGGGGCGGGCGCGGGCCTGTGTGTGTATGTATGGCGCGCACCTGGTTCATGTGCAGCACGTTATAGAAGTCGGGGCGCGCCAGGAAGGCAGCGGCGGGGTGCGGCGCGTGCGGGGCGGAGGGGCCGGCGCTGGTGGCGGGCGCGGGTGCGGGCGATGGTGCGGGCGGCGCCTCCTCCAGTTGCGTGCGCGTCATCGTGCGACGAATCGACTGGTATCTGCGCAGAGAACCAGTGTTCCCATTGCCTTACCGATCGTAGAAACTTAATGGCGGTAGTAAACGAAATAAGAGATACAGCACGACAAGGATTTTTATGAATCTCGCGGCGTACAAATAACCACTCGAAAACGAAGGTCGAGTGGTTTGCACGCCGGGTTTCATAGTGTCGCCGACTCGAGAGGTCCCGGGTTCGAATCCCAGTGGGGGCAGACGTTTGTGTGATGAATGCGAGCATTTGTACTCCAGTCATGGATGTTTAATATGTATTTCTATATAAATATACTTATATATGTACAGTATATGTATTCTATCCGTTACCCTAGTATCCCATAACACAAGCCTTACAGTGCTTACTTTGGAGCTAGGCTAATTGGTGTGAGTGTTGGAAATATTTATTATTATTATTATGAATGTGAATGACAGTTAAGGGAGAGCGCCACTATCTACGCAGATTACTATAAATGACATACAAAAAATAACGATTACAAAGACGACGGCGTTAGTTCCAATTTTTCACATTCATAAAGATCCTTTTCGCACATCTACGTTAACTATATATGGGTTCGAGGCGCGCATGAGATATCACTGCACTGAAACTTGTGAGTAATTGTACGCGCTGCTAACATCTCAATCCCCATAAAGTTTAAGTGGCACTTTATTCGAAAACATCAAATAAATATCATAGCATAGATCGAACTGAGGAAGGTGGCAGACTGCATTGCAATAATTTAAAAAAAAACCTGTATCGCCAGCCTTATCGAGTTTTGTCTTACTACCCTTTTCCCAATTTATTTCTGGTAGATTTAGTTATTACAGAATAATAATTAGACAAATACTTTAAAAATAAATTTTGCCAAAGCTGACATTTCACTGGGAATGAAAAATTTATCAAAAATAGTTAAACCGTATTTTGATTTCAATCGAAAGCAAAACTACTTCTGATTATAGATTTCGTTTAGATGTTTAGGTAAAATGTCCACAGATTCTGCAGTTTAATCTATCATTGTCTAAAATTTGGTGGAATGTTATCACTAGCTTAGCTTACCTTCGGTCTAGTTGTCTCCTCTGGACTTCGGGAGCAGGGGATCTTGGGGCCGTGCCATTAGCTCCAGGCCTCTGCCACGTGGTCGTTCTATTTATGTGGTCAATGTAAAACACTCGTCCGTGGCTGTCCATTCGCGCTTCCCATCCTGAAAATTAAAAATGGCATATCATTTTAAGGAACTATAAATTACCAACAAACTCTGTTTAATTTATGTGCCAATTATAATGCTAACCTGCAGGTAAAGGTTCTTCACATTCGATTATACCACCGATCATATTCGCAGGGAAGTCGCCAGTCAGAGCCATCTGTCTCGACGCTCTTTCAGGTATCGACGGGAGTCGTATTCCGGCCATATGTCTCAGGGGAGTAGGTGACGCGACAGCATTGTCATTATCGTCACTATCTTCGACCGGCCTAGGCCTCCTAAAGATCACATCGTCAGGAGGACCCGCATGCACTATTGTAAAGTGGTTGCTATTGACGAATTCCAGATTCGGTGATCTTATCTCCGACGTCCGCAACTCGTTTGTAAATTCGACCATCTCAAAGTTGTCGTGTAATCTGCTTTCGGAATTTTGTATCGGTGGAGGGTGGAGGTCTGCGGGAGGTATGGGACGAGGTCTCCGCGCATGGTGCGTGGGTGTCGGCGGACACTGCGGTACATTCACACCGGCTCCAGCTAATGCAGCTACCCTCGTCAGTACTCTAGGATGAGGTCTCATTGGACTCTCTGGGTTATTTTTAGCTAACGTTTTATGTGGAGAATGCTTAGGCGTACTCTGACAACCCAAATTCTTCAACAAATGCCTAGGTAAGCTGGAATGTTTCGGCGTTGAACTATCACACGAGTCCTTCCTATTCATCAGCATGGTACCCATGGTCGGTAATATTTTACTTGATTCTTCTACCGGTGAAGATGAATGAGAAGAGTTGCATGAACTAGGTGCGTTAGAACTATTGTTATCGGTTTCTCTATTCGGCACATCAATGTGTGAAGAATTCAGAAAAGCAGTCATCATCGTTGGTGTGTTGGCACGTACAGAACTTTGCCGCGTCAAGGGTTTGTGACCTTTTACCGTGATTTCTTTCTCCTCAATTTGATTCCTGTTGTCATCCTCAAATTCTGAATGATTACTAATGTCGTTCAAGAATGAGTTTTGAGCTTTTTCTTCTGACTTAGCATGGTTTGGAGTTATATTTGTAGCGACATCCAAGGGCGGGCTTGCTTTTTCTTTCCTTGCGAACGTCGTAGTAATGTAATTATCAGGTCCTATATCTTTTATAAACATCACATTATTTTTATTACTAACACTCGGCGAACCGTCAGGTACATCTTTAGATTTCTTTCCCTCGATTAACCTACATAACTTCATGGAGGAAACTGTAGATTCACATAAGCTGCCATCAGTTTCGGGTGTTGCTAATGGTGCAACATTTGGACCTCCTCTCCAAAAACTAGTAGTTGCAGACATCGCTACTTGATTACCACAATAGAATTCTCCTGGTTTGAAATCATTAATTTCACCTTGTAAAACGGCCGAGTTTGTAATATTATTATCGGTAAAAAATTGCTCATCTATGTCTATTAATTCAAAGGTAAAAGTGTCTTCTGGTTTTGTGAGTTTTTTTGGTTTTCGATGTCTAGGTACCTGAGGCGGAGAAAATGCATGCATTCTTTCAAGCGGTTTGTGTGATTGTCTTGGGGGTAACGGAGGCACTGGCGATTTTTCTGCCTCACTGGGCATGCTAGCACCTTCAACATCGTAAACAAATTTCATAATTTTGCATGGATTCTTTGGTGACCATATTTTATAATACTCAGTACCCGGAGAAGTAGGAGATTCGAAGCCGCCATTTCCTTTGGTCTTCTTCTTAACACCATTGAAGGCTTGGCCTCCACCGGTGTCAACAGGAGGCGGACATTTCTTTTTAACTCCAGAAGACGTAGGCTTGCATTCCATAACATTTTGAGATTCACTATTTACAGAATGAGATTCTTTACTAAAATTACTAACTAGAGATTCACTAGCATCACATTTTGTTTGTTCGAGATTAAAATTGTTCCCGTTACTTTCTAAAACACTAATTGAGCATTTATTAACATTATCGCTGAGATGCTTAATGTCATGATTGGCGCCTGGAACAAACTCGACTCTAAGAGGATTTTCCGAGTTCATTTCAAAACTCTCGTTGTTGTAGGAAAAGGGAGAGACCTGGTCGCCACTCCTTTTTCGAGATATGCCTTCTTTAAGTCTTGAAGGCAACTTCTTGAGATCAACCTTGAACCTTGCTGGCAATGTTGGAGATTCTGCAACGCATTCCTCGCCCTCGCCATTATAATACCGAAAGCAGAGCAACTGCTCACAATCTGAAAACAGAGATAAACAAATTGAAATCGCACTAAAATCAAAACATTAAAATAGTCTATTATCAAAACGAAAGTAAGTTATTTATTCAAGCCAACGTTTCTTTCGAGGGTGCTATATAGATATTTGTCAATAAAATTAGATAAGTTTAAAAAAAACAATCAGCAAATCGATAAATGTCTTGGAAAAGGCTACCTTCGTAAGGTTGATTAGGCTCATCAAGAAGCCACATTATGTCGCCGCTGGCGCATCCGGTCGCCGGCACGCGCTCGACGACGCCAGAAGTGTCCACCGATTCTGTAACAAGACCAACAAAATAAATTAATAATTTATAAAGACTGGATAAAATACAAACATTTAACGAAACGAATAAGGAACAATACAGAAAAAGAGCACTGAAAGAAGTAGATGGTACGCAAAATGACAAATGCATATAGTGAAACGATACGACAAACAAAAATCGCGCAGGAAAAATACTAAAGAACAGCGAGCGAGTGAAATGCACCGTCAGACAAATCTACGTCGAAGAAACGAACCCTTCTGTTTTTTTATCTAACAAAAATCAAGAGCGCGTTTAGTTCGGCCCACTCGGCGCAGGCGCATCACAAATTATGCGCCAGACGTAATTACCGGATGCGGGAGTCGCCCGCACATTTTATGCGAAATAATCGAAGCCACCGAATTGCCAGTTAATTGGGGGAACATGACCATAAATATCACGGGGCAAATTGATTCCGCTACAGAATTGGGCTGAATCCGAAGCACCATTACCATATTTTGATTGGTTTAAAATACGAGAGGTTAATATCTTCCTGCCGTTGATTAAGTGTTCGACGATGTCGTTAATATCAACCTTAGTAGAGGCGTTTACAGCAAACATTTCTTTTATTTTGCTTCCCGCACATAAAACGGCGGCGGCGGCGGCCGCTTCATTTCCATTACCAGTGCAGCGGACGTAAAAAGGTTAAGAAAGGGCACAAAGATGAACAAATAAACTAAACTTGACTCCAGACAGGATAAATCGCAGTATTATCTCGAAGGTGTTTCCGCTTGAAAATAATTACCGGTTTTTATAAGATAGTCAAATCATTTGTTCTTATTTATTTTAAGATTCTCCATTTCTTATTTAAATATTGTACTGTCTTACAATGTATTAAAGTGATTTCCTATACTACTTATATGCTACATAAAACATTTTCTTGCAAAGACAAGAACAAATGTAATTTCTCAAGAGTCATATTGTGTTCAGTAATAGAATTTTTAGAAAATGCTTATAAAAGACAAGATAAGACAATTTGGGAAGGTGTAATAAACCATAATTTTAAGTTTATGTTTATAAAAGACTGACAACTGTACAGATGTAACAAACGGTATTTTTGTAAATGTTTACAAAATCAAATACAATCCTAAATAAAAAAGAAAATTAAACCATTATTTGGATTTGATGTAAATAAAAATATAATTAAAGTACAAAATAGATACTACCTATACTTATACGGATTTAAAAGACTCTTTATTTTGAAGTAAAATAGTGAATTTGTAGGACGCTGAAATAAACAATCGATATTATTTAATCATAAATTTTATGTTAAACCAGAAATCTTTGTTGCCTGACATAATAAACAACACAAATGGGTTCGATTGCTTTGCCCGGAAGTTAAGAAAGAGATCACACAAACTAAGTAATTACGATAAGTACGTTAAGTGTCGGTTAAGTGCCTGCAGCGATGATTAGCGGGTATGTGGAGTGTCATGGCATGACGCTGTCGATGACGACACGCGGTGACACAGAGGGCGTCTATTTCCGGTGAGTGACGCAACATCCCGCGCTTCCGCCCGGGATATGGGAGGAGACACAAGTGTCACGATGCGGAGATCAGCTCCACGTTTCCGGGATTTGCGATATCTCGCGTCGGGACAATAACTATGATTACCTTCATAACGGGTAACCCGACACTACATAAAATGTTGTTTTGATATAAATATAATATAGTCAACACTGAAGCGTACAATTTAACTCATTTTTCCAAAACAAAAAGAATTTTCAATTGGAAACGTCCAGACAAATTAGTGTTCAGTCGAAGCATCTATATATATAACACACATTTCCGGGAATAAATTTAACAGAGCACTTAGAGATATCGAGGAAAGCGTGACGCAGACATGAAAAATTCAATGCTAATATATTTCCGCTTATTTTTCAGAACTGTGAAACACTCAGCGTAGAAGATACGAGCACATCTGTTAAGGAAAATATTTAAATGATCTTCATAAATATAGTAAATGTTCACCTAAAAAATACAAATGGTAAAGGTTTGGTTAAGTTACCATTGTATTTTTTTATGATCAATGATTTTTTTGATAATAATTTAAATATGAGCCATCTGTTAACATCTACTAAAGATTAAAAATAAAATTAATGGAGGAATCTGGGGACATTTTGTAATGTCTAAATATTGTATTTCTTTAAAGGATAATTAATGATTGTGATGAAAATAACGATTGCTATAGTAACTACTACATACATTCTACGTACTATTCTCCATTTTGAAGTCGATTAAAAAAAGAAAAATGAACAAAACGACTACTAGCTAGGAACTTACGACTTAACGATAATTTAAGAGTTAGAGATTAATTTTGTTAAAATAATTCAGAAACTCCAAAGTTAGTTCTGGCTAGACCTTCGATCAACAACAATACTATATATAATAGGCCAGCGTGTAAAATCCGTCTCGGTAAATATAGCCTCGCATTAGGCGTGAGATCTTATTTTCAATTAGTTCGGTTAATACACAGCCAATGTAAACACGTGTCACGATGACACAATGTGCATTCAAAAGTTGCAAAAATAACTACCAAACAAGCAATGTTTCTGTCGGAGGATCTTACTTTCAGTAAGTACATGTAAAATACAATATACTTTATACTTTACACTAATAAGTAATATCATATTTCTAATAAAATCACAATATTCAAACCTCTTCTAAAATATTTGACAACATTGGTCCAATATGTAGTCCAACTTTTGTTTAACAGAACAGTTGATGCATGGAGTCGTATTTTATTATTGTACTACTGGTATTTTATAACCAGATTGACTGACTTTAAATACTTTGTGTTTAGATTATAAATTATATAATGTATACATATAATTTTATACAGTATTATTCCGTGCTTGTTATTCTTCTCCCAAACAGTAAGACCGATCTTAATGTTCTTTTTTGTATACCTCCTCATGTAGGTAACATGGTGCTTCGCCATATTCGCGAATGAATATAATTGTGACAGACCAACGTCGGTTTCAAGTTCTCTAGTAAAGATCATTTGTAAAATAAGTTTGTTAATATGTCATTGGTTTGTTTGTTGTACAATTTCATTTAATATTTACTTTTTGCATTCTTAGCAACCCGTTAAGGTGTACAGAATGGATCTCGGTTGTCGCCAGAGAATGGGGAGATCAATTTTATAAGCCAGCGAAGAATTCAGTTTTATGTTCGGGTCATTTAGATAAATCGGATATAACCGGAAATACTGACAACAGTGGTTATTGATGCTAAATTTTTTGAATAAAGATTTTTCGATTGAAATTTAGGTTACTTTTTCAATATAATATCAAAATAAGGAGTAAAAACAAACAATATCCATCAAAAAAAATTTAACGTGTTTGGGATAGAGAAAGTTAAGTTTTCATCCAATTTCCTTACAAAAAAGTTTTTTGTGGGAGAATAGTAAATAACCAAAAGTCGGTTGTTTAAATTTTTCTGATTTTTTAAAGTTATGTAAAAAAAGTGTAAATACACAAGTTGTATATTTTTTGGTACCTAAAATTTTTACATTGACTTTTTTACGATAAATGTAGTTTTCCCTAAAATCGTGACCTCAAATCGCCAGTAAATTATTTTTCCTCTTTTTTTGTGTGTTCTTCCTTTTGAAATGGGTTTCAAATTGTTCGGATTTTTTGTTCTTAAAAATTATCGACCCTGACCTAAACGTATATGATGTATGATTTTAAAAATAAATACTAAACTATAAAACATTTTTTTTATTATTACTCTACCAGATAACTGATTTCATTACTTGTAATGCTCGGTCTATCTAACTAAGTATTCATTTGAAAGTATTAAACATGCTTTACATGTATGATTTTAAAAATAAATACTAAACTATAAAACATTTTTTTTATTATTACGCTACCAGATAACTGATTTCATTACTTGTAATGCTCGGTCTATCTAAGTATTCATTTGAAAGTATTATTAAACATGCTTTACATCACTCTGCCTAATAGGCACTTGGCATTATTCATAATGCAGGGCAATGTGATAAATTGACTGGTTATAATCACATTGCACGCTCTTATTGGGCATTATTCATATTGCCCGGGCATTATGAATAATACCCGTTTAATCACTTAGCCCATAACATATATATGAGTGACCATACAAAAATATAATTTATGAAACTAAACGTTAACGTCTTACATTGTATTAAAATTCAAGGCAACCCCACAACTCCTGTATTCCAGTTCGCAGTGACTGAAAGAATCGATATAAAAACGAAGGAACTCGCTGGCCAATGACTGGTAAAAATACTTTATTCTGTGGGTCATACGGCTGATTTCACATTTTCCTTTTATCAACTTTATCGTTTTTTTCCAAGTATCAGATATAATTTATTGATTTGTTCGTTTTATAAAATAAAAGGTCGTATGTGCGAAATTTCATTTTGTTATTTGTAACTTTATTCCTTTGTGATTGTGATATGGTTGTTATTTGGTTCAACTTAAACTATTTTGAATCATTTGTTTATTTAATTAATTCATTGGGAATCGAATGTAGCTACATAAGTATATACTTCGCGGACAGTTTTTAGCTTTGATTTTGTATGCAACCTGTTATCTATAGTATTGTTGATTGAAGGGTCAGACATTCTAACTACTGATTTAGCGGAAGCTAACAGTTAAACTAAACTACGGTCATTTCACGGCCCCTATTCAGCGCATCTGTCTCTTGACACCCACGCCTTACTATTTAAACTCCGTTTTTTGTAACAACTATGATATCTTTTTAAGTGGCTCCTCAGTTTCACACGAGATGTGATCTTCCTACCTTCTTTGCGCCTTGTGTTATTTTATTCATAAGGCCGTCAATGGATGATGTTGATGTTTTAAGTATACTTGTAAATAAAAAACCAATTCACCCTTACAGCTTCATAGAAAAAGGTTAAGATAAAAGAATTAGAGAGTAACAAAAGATTTGAAACATTTGGCAGGCAGGAAATGCCAGTTTAAAGGGGTC